AAAGAGTGTATTCAGTAAGGTTTTTTTCCATACTGTACCTTCTCGTCCAAAGCCTTGTGGTGCTCAAACAGAGATTTCAGAGCTTTGAGGACCTCAACTTCACTGGAAACTCCTGAGGGAGACTGTGCTTGCCGTTTCACCACTGTCATCCTCAGTGACCTTTCATGTCTTGAGACAAGGCACTCCAAATGCTCCAGTAACAGCTATTGGATTTGATATAAAAGGTTATTAATTTTTGTGCACCTAAATGCCATGGAAATTCTAGCTACAATGTGCATGCTATCAAATGACATTTTTCATGGCAACCTCATTCTGGGAGAGATTGCTGGAATTATTGACATTTTTTGATTCTAAATCAGATAGAAGAAAAAAATTAGGAAATTTACTCAAGATTTCACTTAAAAATCTGCTATGAAAAGCAAGAACAACAAATAACTTAGCATAAGGTCACCATTTAACTAAATTTACAAATATTTACAATATTTACAATATTATTTGTGATAGTAATTGATGAGCATTAGCAACCAAATAACAACCAAAGCCAGTCTAAAGCATCATGCAAAAAAACCTAAAGAAATTTATAATTAATTCACATCAGCTGTCATATATTTTTAATTTATACTGGAAGTTAATTAATATGTAAAAGTAAACAGTATATTTTATTAACTTTTTAGACTATTCATTCTAAATGCCATAGATAGTGGCATTTTTCACTAGCATGTGCTCTAAAATGTTCATTGTTTCTGTTGTATTACAAACATGATCGAAGACAAAAAGGTCCATAAAGAGAAATTTCAGACTATTCTAAATATCTGTAAAATAACCTGTAAATAACCTAGTGTAAAAACATATGATAATTATTTTTCATTATTACTCTGAGGTTAAATGAAAAATTAAAATGATATGTTGATGCTATATAGAAAATTCCTCATTTGTCTATACTTTCATAAGGCTGCTATTGCTGTTCTCACTGTCTGAACATAGAAGAGAATTGGTTAGCTGTAAGGTTAAAGCAGGGCAGCTTAATTCATGAATCACAATGCATGTTAAATGTATTATAATTACAACATACGATTATATCTAAGTCATTGAACCGGAAATTTGAAAGTTACATGGATAACTGTTTATTATGTCTCCTTCGATGTGGTTCTTAATATAGCTACTATTAGTATAGATATGTATTTATCTGTAATCCACAGTTATTCTCAGTCACATAAAGACATTTATTGTCACATAAATTAATCGATATAGGAGCAAAACCAGACTGTAATCACATTATAGTTGTAGTACATTGTTATTGTCAGGAATGATTAGGGTTTGATGTTATCTTTTCTTCAAACATAGCTCTTGTGTCTGGATTTGCACCTGGTTATTATGTTACAATAACTGTATTATTCACAAAAAATAGCGAACATATATGCAAACAATATTAATACATTAAGAATTGTAATGACTCCGTGTAGTTCAAGAAAGGAGGGTATTTCTACAGTTTCTGAATACAAGTGATGGCCCATATTTATCAAAAGCAAATAAGCAAGAAATTCACAAGCTTTGTCATCTGATCCCTGCAGGGCTGACGGCAGATGTATGTGGATTTTTAATTATTTGAGGCAGTCCAAAGTATCAGGCAAATTTGAAGAGACCTCTTCATCAAAGAGGCATCAGGAACTCAGTACAGGGATGTGGTAAGGTTGTCACTTTGATGAGCTCAGAATAGCTTCCAAATACTCACAGAGTATTTCTGTTCATAGCAGTACTCAATACACAGGTAACTGCTGTCATGAATAGAAATTAATTTCTGAATTTTGGTCTAAATTCATACATCTTCGTGATTTTTTTAGGCCACAGTTATGTAGGAGATAGCTGGAGGAAAGTCAGTCAGTAGTTGATTTCTAATGCTACGGCCTACTCTCTGCCCCATCTCTTGAAAGAGACTGTGCGGCTGCAACATTTCCTCCTCTCTGCCGCCGGACTCTGCCCCGCTCTGTAGCCCTGAGGTAGCCCCCTCCGTAGCCCTGACCCTGCTGGAACTATGCTGTGGACATACATTTCTCCACAGTCATTCCCATTTTCTGGCTGATCCTGTTAGAGCCTGGCTCATCCTGCTCTGTTTTCTGTCTTGTCTGACTTTCTTTACGCAGAAACTTTTCAATCCATCATAGCTACCTCTGTGACAATCTAAATCCAGTCAAAATGCTACGAAATTCTGGGGAAATTGGGAAAAAAAATAAAAATGTCAAACCACAGCTGAGCTTTCAGCATGGCCATTCCTTCCATAAGTCAGTAGTTGTCTGAAGCTCAAACTGACACCCACTAAAAGATCCCAGAATAACAAGACCTTGGTAACTATTTTTTGGCCAACATTGAACAAATATATTATATTTGATGCCCTACTATCCTAAACAACTTATCTCCCAGACAAACACTGTGATGATTGGAAAGGAGAATTCTGAGAGCTTGTATACAAGTCTTAGTTGGAAGGGAAAATAGAGAAAACCATTAGGAGACATGAAAAATGATGGTGACACAGAATTCTTGGCATGGTAAAAACTTTAGTGGTAGAATGAATTACGCATAACCTATAGCACAGAGATAAATAAGGAACACAGGAAAAAAAAGAATATACATCCAGCACCCCATTTTGAACTGGTGTAGACAGACAATCTCAACAGGGAATTTGAAGTCAGCATGGACAGAAGAAAGACAAGAATTTTATTAAGAGAAGGAAGAATGGAGATTGAAGAGAGTGATGAAGAGGAAAAAAAAAAGTTAAATAAGATTCCATGTATAAGAAGAGGGTAGAATGGTAGGAACTCAGAATTTCCAATGGGATGAACATGGAGGAGTTTACTATGTGGGATGAACAGTGCAGCACCTACCCTTTCTACACTACCAGCAAACATATTTAACTTTACCTTAAGTTACTGCCATGTTAGAAACATTTATAATACATAAAACTAAACCAAATGAAAGTTATCCATTTAATATACACAAAAACTAATTTTGCCTTTAGCTTAGAATTACCATCGTAGAGGTGACAAAACCATATTTCAATATCTGCCTATATTTCATAGTCATTCAATAAATCAAGTGAAAAATATTGTTTTGCTTATTTTACTGTATGAAGACAGATGAGCTGACATCACAGTTAAGTGTCAAAATACTCATGGAGAATTACTGTGCACATTACGAATATTTCATGCTTTTTCTTTCTTTTCTTATTCACTCAAGCTACCTATGAACACTAGAATTTTCCTTACTGTCATCCCTAAGAATGCTCAAGAAGACATGCTGACATAGGTTTCTGGCTTGTAAAAAATTCTTATTTTTGCTTTTCAACAAAAGTCAACTCTATTTCTCCACAAATTCTGTGAGCACTGCTTGCAGCAAATCCAGCTGAGCAGAGAGTATTATTAACCAGATCTCCCAGTGCCACATTACTCCTGGCCATTCTGGAAGGGAAGTATAATCCAAGGTTTAGAACATCTGACTATGACTGAGCACCTGATAGCAAATCCTTGCTCCTCTGCTCTGCTGAAATGATACTGCTATTTTATCCATCTTTGCCCTAACTACAATTATATTTGAAAAAAGTGTAATAGATCTTCCCTACTTCCATGGTGTCCTGGTTTCAGCAGG